GGCTAGTAGATATAACCTGATGTATGTCTTCCATGCAGACATTATTTGTTGTCTGGCTAGTAGATATAACCTGATGTATGTCTTCCATGCAGACAATATTTGTTGTCTGGCTAGTAGATATAACCTGCTGTATGTCTTCCAGGTAGACACTATTTGTTGTCTGGCTAGTAGATATAACCTGCTGTATGTCTTCCAGGCAGACGCTATTTGTTGTCTGGCTAGTAGATATAACCTGCTGTATGTCTTCCAGGCAGACATTATTAATTTTGTTGTCTGGCTAGTAGATATGACCTGATGTATGTCTTCCAGGCAGACATTATTTTCTACTAGAGTGAAGTCATTAAACCCGTGCAATAGATATTAGACTAATACACATTAGTAGACCCTAATTCCATTGTTTTCTTTTGTGTCTATTTGACTATTACACATTGACTAATAATCCCTATTTCATGGGTTAAATGCCTTCACTCTATGAAGATACTTTTCTGCAGTACTGTCTGGCAGACACCTAGCTAGATTAAGAAATGCTGGGTTTGGAGAGCAGTAAAGCCTCCATCTAGTCTCATGTATCTCATGCCATTCATACAATACTAATTCCAATGTTATAACACAACAAAGGTATTTTTTTTATTGAACAATTCACTAAAACACAAACGAAACACTTGTGAAGATTCAAATTCAAAACTTTGCGACATCAAAGGATGGCTACAATTGTTCTGTTCATGCAACTTGTTGGTTCATCAGGGGAGTGTAAAATACATAATTGGTATACATCTTGGACATGAGCATGTTTGCGGCAGTCCAACAGACCATTTAGAGCCAAATCTAACTTCATTTGGGTTAACTGGTATGGGGTGTGGAAACATAGTTACTTGAGGTATATTGTCTGAAATATCAATTATGTACAAGAAAGTGTTAGACATGAAGTGATCACCTAATGATGTGTTGAATCCCCCCTTGTTTCTTCAAGATATTCTTGTCTTAAATGGAATAAAGGTATCAAGATCCCAGTGGCACACAAAGTTAGATTCTAATTTCTTAAAAATGACAATAATGTCCCTTTAATAAAAGTCCCCCAATGATGATGACCCTCTTTGTCAAGTCCCTTGCTTATGATGAACTCCTACCAAGATCCCTGTTACAATGTACCCATGACTGGCTGATAATGTACCCCTTGCCAAAATGCCAACCTACTACAACTACTAATAATATAAAAATAATAACCTTATTTAACAAGGTTAAACACATTATAGTCAGAGACTGATAAACTTGTGAACCTCCATGTACCACATGTCAGATGTACTCCTACTGATAATGCACCCCTTGCCAAGATGTACCCCTACTGATAATGTACCCCTTGCCAAGATGTACCC